ATCTTGGCCTCGGCAGTGTCTACCGCCGGGTTCTCAGCAGGCCAAACAGCAGGCTCTGGTGTTCCACTGATGTAAAACCAGTACATGAGAAATAGAAACAGAAATCTTGAGTGGCACTCTTGGTTCTTAAGGAATGGCGAGATGAGAGGCCGCCTGTGTCACCCTCTAGAGGGGGTGGGGTAGGGTGGTGGGGTGGTAGAGTGTCTTTATTTACTCATTCATTCATTCATTCATTCATTTGTTTGTTTATTTTGGTGTTTGGGGCCACAGCCAGCTGTGCTCAGGCTTACCCCTGGTTCCACTTGGGGATCACTTCTGTTGGAGTTCAGGGGACCATAGAGAGTGCTGGGATAGTAAGACTTGGAAAGAGACTTCATCGCTCTATCTCCTCCTCATCTGGAAGCAGGAAGCATTCACTCACATTGACATTAAATTAGGCGTAGACGTGTGTGTATGACCAGACAGGTGTGACCTTATAGGGGGTGGGTGGGGAAGGCTCCTCTCTAGGTGGAGAAAACAGGAGTGATGAGGTAGGTGGCCAGGTACTTGCCGGTTTGTTATTTGATCACAGTGTGGCTCTGGGGAGCAGCAGGGAGAGGAAAGACCACGTGGGGCTGTGCCCAGATTTCTGCCCTCTTGACCAAATTGACCCTGCCAGCCTAACACTTGCCCATCTTGAGTTTTCAGGCCTGGAAATGGCCTCTATGAGAGGACCCGTCACATGGACTTCGTTTGATTCCCCTTAAAGAGTTGCTGCACATATGCATCTGGTCCCCATCAGAAGGCACACCCAACAGGGTAGGACTGAAGTTGGCTTCATTCTGCTTGGAGAAGTAGCAAGTTGTCTGCTCTGTGACTTGAGAGGTAGCAGCGTCCTGCTCCTTAATCACACCTGCCCTCTCTCATAATTCTGAGTTTTGAAGCTACCTGGCTGGATTCAGGTTCTAGAAACCTATCAATGATCACAAGAATTTTATCTCACGAAAGACGCTTTCTAGTTCCAGTTGTTTTTCTGTGACTGTAGACAAGATATTGTCCCTCCCTAGGCTTCAGCCCAGGTATAATAAAACAAGAGCTTCTAAGGCTCATCCAGCTCTAACAAGAACATCTGGGGAGTTTGGGCCGCACTCAGCCGTGACAGTGCAGCAAGTAAGTGGCAAGTCCAAAAGCTAAGCCCGACTTTATTCATCACAGTTTAGAAGTCAAAAGTAATGTTCCTGCAAAATCTGTGGTCATAAAACAGAAATAGTCCCTCTGAATTCCATACCATGGGGGAGGTTTCCCTGTGGAAAGTTCTGGGCATCAATTGAGATGCAATTCATAGTCTTTTGGTTTTGGGGTCACATCCCAGAAATGATCAGAACTTATTCCTGGCTCTGCACACAGGAATCACTTCTGGTGGGTTCAGGGGACCATATGGGGTGCCAGAGATGGAACCCAGGAGAGCTGTATAGAAGGCAAGTGCCCTACCTGCTGTGTTATTGCTCCAGCCCCACATTATTATTTTAATCTTGACAAAACCTTACAAGAAAAGTACTAAACTTGTTGGTAGGTAAAGAAATGAGGATCAGAGACCTTCAATAATTTTTTCCAGGTCACCCCTCTGAAAACCTCACTCAAATGTGAATCCAAGTGCCCAATTCTTCCCTCCTCTTCAATCAGATCTACACCAAAGTCTCTCCGCACTAGTTTTAAGACTTGGCTCCTGGTTTCCTTGTGAGGGTGAATGACTTATTAAATGCGACATTTTCTTGTTCATGATTTGTTAATAAGTCAGAAACACTTGATTCACCAAGAGCTCTTAAGCTGCCATTCTCTAAGAACCAAAAGCTTCTGACAAAGGGAAGGGAGTCAACTTCTTTTCTAGAAGACCTGAAGCCTTCCTGGAAGCCTGAGCATGTCTCCTCTACTGGATCAGCTCAACTGCACCAAGAGCTGCTGGAATCTCAGGCGGCAGAAGTCTTCCTCCCAAAACAGGACAGAGACTGGTCCCCAGAGTGGCAGCACATTCTAATGCATCTGGTCCCCATCAGAAGGCACACCCAACAGGGTAGGACTGAAGTTGGCTTCATTCTGCTTGGAGAAGTAGCAAGTTGTCTGCTCTGTGACCTGAGAGGTAGCAGCGTCCTGCTCCTTAATCACACCTGCCCTCTCTTGTAATTCTGAGTTTTGAAGCTACCTGGCTGGATTCAGGTTCTAGAAGCCTATCAATGATCATCCTAATGAATCCAGAGCCTCCCTATATTGTTGGGAAGGATTGGAGGGGGGAAATTATGAACATTTGGGTTTCAAAAAGCACGAAGTCAAATGGGCCGGTAACTCTGAGCCCAGGAGTGGACAAGACCTCAGACTTTAAGGAGAGAGTAAGGGAAACACAGGATGAAGAGAGAGTGACTCATTTGACAAAGACCAGACACTCTGTGTTTAGATGTTTGCGCTGCCTTGCCACTCAGTCTCCCCAATAGAAAGATTATTTCCAGTAACCCTAATTCTGGGTAAGACCCTCACTGTTCCTTCTTTCAGACAACAAAGGCAGTGGTGAGTGTCTCATCCGCCTACAGGGCCCCATTCACCTGACTCTAGAGAGACCACAGGCCAAAAGGCACATCTTGGATCGGCTGTGACTGGCCATCTCGGGAAGCCTGTTGTTCTTGGGGTCTTAAAGAATTGAGCTGAGTCACAGGAGAGCCTGTCCTGCAAACATTTTCCCAGGCATGCACACCCAAGTGGGCAGAGCAGAGCCATGGCACCATTAGAACTCTGGCGGGCTTGTTCCCAGTCTTAGGAGAGTCCAACCTTGTCCCAGCTTTACTTTACAGGGTCAGGAGATGGGCTCCACCAGAACCCCTGATCAGGCTACCCGAATCTTCACCAGGCAGTGTCCCTGGCAGAGGATTTGGTTGTGGAACTATTTCAGTGGAAGAAGCAGAGAGATTTGCAAGGGGATGAGGATGGGCAAATGCAGCTGAGGAAGGAAGCTAGAGGAGCAAGGGTGTGTGAGCAGAGCAGGGACCATGCCCTCTCCTCTATATGTCCACTCCCTTCTCTCAGCCTTCTCCCTTCATGAGTCCAAGGAGCCTCATTAGGAGAGTCCAACCTTGTGGGAGAGTACAGCGTCTTAGGAACATGGTTTTATATGATTCATTTATGATTTAATACCAGCAAATATTTAATTCATGTGCCTACCTTCACAACCACTGCCACCACCACCATCACCACCCCGCCCCCCCCACACACACACAATCTGAGTAAGGCCACATCAATGTATCTCAACTCTAAGAACCCCTGGGTGTGGGGTCTGCAGGCTTGGGGCCTGAACTTCGAAGGAACAGCCCTGCGGTACCAAGTGGAGCCAGAGCAGGACAGCCTGGCCTGGTTCCACAGATGGTGTATATGTGCAGGGCAGCCTTGGGTAATGCCAGAAGCCTGCAGGTGCACCGTTGACTGCTTCATGACACGGGCCACAGTGCTAGGACTCTCCTGTGGCAGCTGAGGTAGCGGGAGAGGCTTAGAGAGATGGGGTGAGGAGAAGCTCCAAGGGGCTGTGTCACCTGGGCCCCTGGCAGAGCGTGGAAGGGTCAGAGCTACTACTAGAGACCAGAGTCAGGGCTGGGCTGGAGTCCAGCCAGGCAGGGAGAGAGAGGGCCACTGGGCCTGTGGATGTGAGTCAGACTGGGGACCCTCAGGCCAGCTGCGACCCAGCTGTAAGCCCCCCACCCCAGACCAGCAGGCTCAGGCCTGGATGGGTCTTGTCTCTGCTCAATTCCACAAGATTTGTCTCCTCCCCCAACTCCCCGTGTGCTGCTCATGGCTCCCCATCTTACTGACTTCCCCTGCAGTGATCCTCAGTCTCTGCAGCGCTTCTTATTTTCCAGAAGTGCTCCCAACTCCTTTGCAGTGCTTCAGACTCCCCTGGAGTGCTCCCAACCCCACTGCAGTGTTCCTGACTCCCATGCAGTGCTCCTGACTCCTGTGCAGGCTCCTGACTCCTGTACAGTGCTCCAACTCTCAGGCCAGAGTCTAGCACGCTAATCTTAATGCAATAAGTGGGGTCTGCATTTACGGCAGAAACTGGCGAGCTACCCGTGACATACTCAATATGCCAAAAGCAGTAACAATGATGGTCCTCACTCCCCTGACACTGAAAGAGCCCCCAATATGTCACCGGGCTACACTAGCATGCAACCGGGACGAATGGAGGTGTTACTGGCACCTGCTCAAGCAAATCGATGAACAACAGGATTACAGTGATACTGTGATACAGTGGTTTTTGATGTGAAAACTGAAGCCCAGAAAAGGCAAGTTTTCGACCCAAGGTCACATAGCCACTCTCTGGACCTGTGTACTGGTTCAGAACCTGCAAATCTGACTGCACAGGAGGGATCAAGTCACTGACAAAGACGCCCTGCCAGGGCCCCTGGAGCAAAGGGACCTCCTGAGCACTCTCCTGCCTCCTCCCTGTCTCCCAGTCCCCTCTGACAGTGAGTGGCAGGCCAGAGACATGACACTCTGCAGGAAACTGAGCAGGGAATATTTTTAAACCATACAACATGCCTTAGGAGAAAAAAAAAATCAAAACACTCCCCTAGATGTTGGGGAAAGCATTTCAAAAGATTCCACGCCTAGAGGAGGCATCATACAACAGGGATGGTTTTTGTTTCTCAAGAACCAATTCCACCTTCCAGAAGGACCTGGAAACAGACTGGACCCACTACGACCAGGCCCCCAGACAGCCCAACACTACGGGGGGGAGGGTGGACTAAGTCCCCAGCCTGGTGCTCACTTTTCTATGGCTTGTCACAAAGCAAGTAAGTGATTCATCTGCAGCTTTAGAAACTGCCCTTTTAGGTGGCCAGATCTCTCAGCAAATAGTGAGGGGTGGGGAATGAACCCATGGGTACAAAGAGCGTTGCCCTTGTCCAGCCTGGAAGTCAAGGCTCTCTTCTGGCTACTTCCCATCCACTGGAGGTTCTGGCTCTTAAAATTCAAGTCGCTCTTACCTCCTTCCTCTCCTCCCTGGAGTGGCCTTGGCCGCCTGCTCCTGCCGCCTCTTCTCCCCGCCACTCTTCTAGCTCTTGAGCCTGTCAGTTGTTCTCCTCCACCCTCTTTTGAATCGGGATCCGTCGCCCTCCCTCCTCCCACTCCTTCCTACTCTCTCCTCCCCCTTCCCCCCACAACCCTCCCCTCCCCTCTCTCTTTTGCACTCTTAGATTCCTTTTGCTCCTCACTTAAAAAGTTTTCCTCCCTCTACCTCCTGGCTGCTTCTCCCAGAAGGAGCCGGAGCCCTTCCTTTGCAGCCACCCAGCGCTTCCACTGGCTTCCCCGGGTGTGGCTCACAGTTCTCGCAGTCATCTCTCCCTCTGGCTGGTGGGGGTGCTTCTTCCCTCCCTGTGCCAGCCCACCCCACTGCCCAGCCCGCTCCAGGCCCTGGGAAACTGGCAGGACCCAAGAGCCCTCTTCCCCATCCTCTTCCTGTAGTCAGAAACAATGGGTGCACTTTGCCACACAGGACTGGGGGCACCTTTGCTGTGCCCATGCCAGTGAGCTGAGCAGCAGCTTGGTACAAAGGGCTCACAAGCCACAACCAGAGAGAGTATCCCCCACAGGTAAGAGAGACAGAGAGATCGGTAGGAGGAGAGATGATAGATACAGATGTAGGTATCAATTAGATATAATATTGATATAGGTAGATAATGGATGGATAGTCATATTTATCTATTGAACTGAGCAAACAGAAGTAAGTTTGTTTCTTGTTAACTCACATGTCATAAGCGAGCAAATTGAGGAACTGTGAAGCCCTTCTCTCTCTTCCACTCCTCTCATTCCAGCTCCTTTCCTCTGTTCCTCAACTTAAGCACTTTGCCATAGCCCCAGAAGAAGCAATAAATGTCAGTGAGTGAGGCCCCTCTAAGTGAACCAAAATTAGACAGATCAGTGATTGGCAGATTGTGAGAACCAGAAGAAAATCCTAGAGATCATATGGACTAGTCAGGGAAACTGAGACCCACAGAGTCAAGGATACTTGTCAGTGTCACACACAGTAAAAGGAGGTGACAGAGGCAAAACCAGAACCCAGACAGATTCTTTTGCTCAATGTCACCACATTCCCATGCAGGACCAGCCACAAGGATGCCAGCATATTGCAAAACCATTTGTTTCTTTAGACACCAATGATTTTCATGAATAAACTTTGAATCATCAAGAAGGGAATGAACATGGCACCTAATATCCTTGTGTCCAGAGAGGACAAGCCCTGTGGAAAACAAACATATGGCTTTTTCATTCCTTAGTCAGTACCCCTTATGTACCCTGCCACCCTCTCTCTCCACCACACACACACACACACACACACATACACACACACACACTTTTCCTATGTTCTCTAGAGATTCTGAGGCTAACTGTGCCTGGTTTTGAATCCTGACTCCACCAGGTACCAGCTATATGACATTGAGGAGTTAACTCAACCTCTATGCAACCAGTGTCCTCACTTGGGAATTGGGGATAATAATAACTACCTGCTAGAGTTGTCATGTGGACTGATAAGAATGTGTAAAGCACTCAGAGCAATGTCTGGAAGCTGATCCCATGGATGAGACTGCAGGATCTAATGCAGTGTAAGAGCACAGCACAATGCAATACAATACAACACAATTCAGTGTAAAACAATACAACACAATGTAATACAATACACTGTATCACTGTCATCCTGTTGTTCATCGATTTCCTCGAGCAGGCACCAGTAAGGTCTCCTTCGTCCTAGCCCTGAGATTTTAGAAAGTGCCACATTCAACGCTCTTTTAGAGTCAGGGGAATGAGACCCATCATTGTTACTGGGTTTTGGCATATCAAATGTGCCACAGGGAGTTTGCCAGACTCTGCCGTGTGGGCAGGATACTCTCAGTAGCCTGCCGGGTTCTCCAAGAGTAAGAGCTAGATAATAAGATGTCATGTGGCTGCATTTGCGGCCGCACGCTTCCAAGAGCTTGGTTTTATAGTCTCTGGGTCTTGGCCATTGATGGGATAACACGGTGCCAGGGGCAGTTGGTGGGTGCAATGCCTAACTACTGGAAGACAGGGCATCTGGGTGGAGGAGGCCCTGTCTTGATCCGAGCAGACTTGGAGATCTCAGCCCTGGGTCCTGCACACCTGGGTTCCTCTGTCAGTTTCTTCATGCATGAGGTTCGTCCAAACGTGTGGAGAGCGGTCTTGACTTGGCTGTGGCTTGCTCCAGAGATCTTCAGCTGCCAGGGCTCTTCTCGGGGTGGGGAGGGAAACTCAACCTGGCCCCCTCCAAGGGGTCCCGGTGAGAACAGCCAGGCGTGGGGGCAGGGGACTCTGCGCTGTTCTCTTCCAGGAGCTTGGTTTTATAGTCTCTGGGTCTTGGCCATACAATACAATGCAATGCAATACAATACAACACAACACAAAGCAATGCAATACAAGACAACATCTACCTCCTCCTGTGTGAGTTTTAAGGTTAGACCAAATTCCTGGGATAGAGTGCATTCAGCATGTGAAACCATAGAGAACATTGATAGTATCCAGTTTCTTCTCCAAGAGAGCTTGTTCTGATACAATGGCTTTGCACTTATGTTCTAGCCACTCTGCTGAGACTGGAGCTTCTAAAACATTTTATTTTCTCCAGCTAGGAGAGAGTCAGTTTCTCAGTTGAAGGATAATCTCAGAGTTGGAAGTTTTTGTGGAGAATCTCAGGGTATCCAAAGGAGAATGTGGCTGGGACAGAGTTGGAGAGAAAGGATAAAGCTTAGTAGGGAAGAACTGCTGAGATGCAAATGCTGAGGAGAGGTCCCTGGCCCAGAAATCAATATCACCACTCTGCCAGGCAGGTAGAAAAATAGAGCAGCGAGGATTTGGCTGTTTGCTAGAAGTGATCCAGAAATCCAAATCAGGAATGGGAGAAGACAGGGGTCTCAAACTCAACAAATTGCCATAGATCTCCAGGTAGCCACTCTGCACAGTCTAGAGTCTGGGACAGAGAACACACAGATTACCCAGTGCTGGGTTGCTTTGGTAAAGGATTTGCAAGTCTGGCTTGTTCTTCCAACCCACGCTTACCTAAGAAATCTGACAAAATGAAAGGAAATGCCATTTGAGTTGTGGTGATTCTTGGAAGGGACCAAGTGTGACAGCCACCACTTCTCTGACCCCACCTCCACCCTCCACAAAAGGGAGAGCCAGGGGGAAGTAGCAACTGAGATCCTACACACCCTCTCATTCATCCTCATGTTCAGTATAAAGAAGGGTTTTAGAAATGCATGGGGGGCAGTTTCCCACACATGGAAACAATGTGGGGAATACAAAGAAGATTTAGAATGAGAGTCAAATCTGCTCAAAGGATTGTAACTAATAACTAACAGGGAAGGTTGTAGAAGCATATTCAAAATAAACTTGATGCAACATTTATTTATTACTGTGCTGGGGCTTGTGCTAGGCACACTTCACTCTCTTATACTTGGAGATTAAAAAACAAAAAGATAACCATCTTGTGCTCATATGCACAATCTTCAGGATTCTTAGACAAATACTCTCACCAACAGGGCCGTTGCTCAGAGGGAGACAGAATCATCTTTTGTCGACAAGAAGAGACCTTCTACTTACAAGAGAGAGATAGTTGTACAAAACAATTAGTTTTGTTCATTATAATGAACCATATTCTAAATGTATGTATTTGCAAAGCATAAAGTTGATTTACCTGTGAGAATATCATTGGAACAATAGAGTCTTAGCATGATTTCTATGTTGTATGATTATCGAGGGGAATGGAAGAGAAACATTTATTTTACCAGAACTGTTATTATTATTTCCACTTTATAGGCAAAAAATATTTAGACTCAAAAGTTTAGTGGCCTGCTCAAGATTATTTAGCTAATAGGTAGATGAAAGGTATGCCTAATGGCCAAGGTCAGTTACTTTCTCCAAAAAGATGTAGAAGAAATTCTCATCAAACTCATCGATGAGAGAGGAAGTATGGGACCCTGGGTGTCAGGGGTGCAGAAACCAAACTTTACAAGATGAATGAATAGATTCTAACTCTAATAGGAGAGATAGTCTTGGACCATGTAAGAGAGTTCCAGAAAGAGGTGCTATCAACATTTTCTACAAGTCCTTTAAAGGTGGCATTTTAAAACTTGTTTCATTTTTGCTTCTTTTTAGAGGCAAGTACAGAAACCATTTTCTCTCTTCTAGCCAATGAATCTGATTCTGAGTTTCCATCCCAAGACACTGTGGTCCAGATGTTTAAAGAGCTGCCGCCCTGATAACCTCCAAGGATTACACATACAAAAAAATTCTCTCAGCCTCAAATAGAGCAAAAAGTCCCCAGTGCCTCATTGGAGGGCATTAAGTGGATAATTGGAGCCCTGATTAGTGAGTTGAGGTCCCACTTTTCTGCCAGCGAAGATGCTGATTCCACTGACATAAGCCATCCTCTTTAAGACTTTTACTTTCCAAATAGTGGCCAAAACTGGCAAGAACATTCTGTTCCAAGAAGCAGAAAGCAAAAGAAACATACACTTCCTGGTGCTTGGGTCTGTGAATCTGCAGCTCACATTTTAAATCCAAAGGAAAAACTAATTACATTCATACCTTCACTTGGTTTAAGGTAAATGGGATCTTCTGGAATCACAAACTTAAGATCTCTTTTCAGTGGACTTCTGTCTGTGGCCTCCGTGAAAATAAGAAGAGAGAAAGGAGGAGGAAGAGTGAGGAGGTGATGGTGAAGGAAGTGAAAGAGGAGGAAAAAGGAGAGTTGGAGGAAAAGGAAGAGGAAGAAGAGGAAAAGGAGGAATCCACTACTAGTTTAAACTGGGAGAGATCCCAGTTAAGTCAAGGCATAATGCAACAACTGGGTATAGCCTCGTGGACCTCTGGGGATCCCAGGATTTCACCAACAACAGTGTTTAGGACCTTTTCCTGGGAGATCTTGACATTGTATATGCTCCTTAGAGTCAAAGGTAAGTTCTTGAGAACAAGAAGATAGAATGTGTTGCTGTTTTGATTTAAATTTAAGCAGTTTTTAGGGTTTTGTAGTGCATATCTGTGTCACACATTTCGCCTCTAACG